AAAAAAGTATATATTTGAAGCTTTCCCACAATCAATTAAAGTTACTTTTAAGCAAATGTTGCGTTTGTTGTAAAATATGAAAAATGTGGGTGAGGAATGTTCCTGGGAACTCTTGTTCTTACTAAGTCTCACTGTTTTTGTACAAAAATGGAAATAACCAATGTGCAGGAAGGAAGCCAATATAGAAATGCAGCTAAACACTGATAGCAATCTGGAGATGTGCATCATTTACATCATTAGGGCATGGTAAACAGACTTGTGCCAGCTGTCAAACAAACCTTGCACCAATAACCTGTACTAAAAGTTGAGTGATAGTTTCAATGCCAGTCTAGGGGTTAAGGGAAGGTGGTATGTGTGGTTTTGATCTTTATCACTTTGCCTTTGCCAATACCCTCAAAGCAGCTCTACTAAGGAGTCTCTTCACTTTTCTTTTCACTTGTTGCTATAATTTTGCCAGACAATAACATCACCCAACAGTGCAGTGTGCTAACAATTAACAACCAACTAACCAGATGTTAAACCAGCTAGCACGTCTCTGTATCCTCCAACATGCTGCTCAACCAATCAAACGACAACATGCTTAGAGTAGTACCACTCAAAACTATGCTGCTAATCACTGTCCTAATCACTTAAGCTAACTCAGTGGCCTCACCTTCATAACTGCCAAAGTGCAGTGTAAAACCTAAAATTGTAACTGATATTTCTTTTACTGTAGTTATAGGTAAAGAGGAACATTTTTATTAACTGACCAGCTTGTGGCCTTCATCAGGGTCATGATGGGTCAGGATGGTGAGGAATACCCTGATGACGCATTGGTCAGTTAATAAAGTTGTTCCCTCAGCAACCTTTAAGTGTTGCTGGAGTGCCTGCATTGTTAGTTTCTCATCATCTCCATGCACCTTGGAAGTAGGTGAAGTTGTTGCTATCCTTTCACTGTAGTTCTAAAATTAATATGCAATGACGTTATATATTTCCATTATAGAGATTGCATGGTAATTTTAAAGAAAATTGGACATCACATGGTCTGGCTTAACAGCTTGTTCTGATATAAAGCTGACTTACGCCTAAAATAACAGAGAGGCTCACGTAACGTGTTAGTATCAGGGTGTAAAAGCTGCAGTGTTTTTTCTTTCTATTTTAATGCACAAGTCAGGTTCATGCAAACAGTCTACTTGTTATGGGTGTGCAGAAGAACAGACACATCTCTGACTGATCACCATGATAACTGGTGACATTTGCTACTCACGTACATTCAAAAATTCTAGATAAGCTAATGTTATAGATTGTAATTGCATTTGAGAATTATCAATTTCACAATCTGTATGGTTTTTTTTCTTTATTTGTGACGCACATAAAATGCCACAAAAACACCTTGTGGTGCACAGAAACCCAAAATACAAGTACATATTATAAGATGTAAATAGGCATTATATTAGTTGTATATTATATGTTAACATGTAACTTTTTCCCCTAATGACTGTTTGTTAATGGAAGACTAGTTTTTTCCATGAGTAAGAACAAAATGAGATAGAAAATTCAGAGTAGGTGTTGTTGCTTTCAGCATGAGCATAAAGGTTTTAAAAGTTTAATTGTGCTGGGGCAATTTTTTTTTAATATAGGTCATATTCCTGCAATATTTTTGCATTTATGTTTCAGGGTCGAGTTTGGTTTTCTCTGAAACTGGGGGCCTGTGATACCACGCTAACCACCACATCCTGAGTACACTTGAGCAGGTGGGATGAGTTTACGCTTACGGGGTCTAATTTAGCAGAAGGCTAATATAGGGGCTATTTCCTCTCTTCTAAGAACATTAGGCATGTTTCAGTAGTCCGTGCAACATGAAATAGCTGACACAGACAAATATGTACAAGGTGTATTTATAGGAATACTTGAATACTTTGTCATACTTTTGCCTTAACAATAGAAAAAAAATACCGTGTGCTAGGTGACAGATGAGAGATGAATGTGGATATAAATAAATGACAGATTTCAGCATCTTTTAACTCACTGTTTTGGTCCTACAGCCTGCGGTTTTGAGTCATTCCTGCATTTGTCATCTACCTCCACAAAGCATGTAATGAGGCATTAAAAAGGATTGAATCAAATCCATTGATAAAAGGTGAAATCTTTGGGGGAATGAATCCTAAATTGATTTCACATTTACAGCAGCATTGATCTGGCCTAAGACTTTAGCACCTAATGTAGGTTAAAAAGCATTTCAGGAAGTTGTTCATAGAGTTGGGGTCAAAAGGCGACTCAGGAATCGTGTCGATGCAAAAATTAACTTTTGACCTGCATTTGTTATTAAAACTGATAAAATAAGTTGGCCGAGGTAAAAGGTAGGACTATTTTCTTCATATAATCTTACGTCTTTTTGCCTGCAATAGTATGTATTGCCACATATCCTCTAGTATTCGCGGCCCTACATATGCATTTTGTGGTAGACCCGCACAGAGGAAAGTGCGACCTCACGTAGTTCTTTTCGCTCCGTGCAACGTGAGTATAATTTAGTCACTGAGGCATAGGAAGTTATTCATTGTCACCTTCATACTGCACATGCATGCACCCACACAAGCGTTTGCAGTTTTATGAAAAAGTGTGAAAAATAATGCAATACAGTACAAAGTAAATAAAACTTCACAGAGATTCTTCTGAAACCTACTGTAAACTGAACCGTGCGCAGTACTTTTGACTCGACGGCACATGAATGTGACAACTGAAAGAAAAGCCTTAGCCCCAGTGGTTTTTTTGCAATGTTTACGCCACACTTTTGTTTAACTACGGTTTAATTTGTAGTTTAGGGTTTTTGCTTAAATGTTTAACAGCTCTGTCATGCAAATAGCAACAATGGCGGACCACTAAGGTGGGTTCAGGGCTGGGAAAAACCCATTACTCTTTAGCGCGAGTAAAATGTCTCATCGACCTCAAACGCTCTCAGCCCCTCAGACCTCCCCCAGCTCTAGCACACTGAGACAGAGCTGTACTTTCTCTTTCTACCCACACATAGTAAACGTGGTTTTTAATAGCTTTTTTTTTTTTTTTAATCACACATCATTGTGTTAGAACACCGGAATGGAGGAAACATGCAAAGTAAAGCCCCTAAAACTTCCACCTGGTCTGCCTGAAGCCCACCACGTCTTAGTAAGGGACATGGAACACGGTGACCACTAAAGAAGCAAAAATGATTAAGCTGTCAATGCAAATGACTCAGCCAAGATCGTGAGAAGATTCAGACTTTTGATCAACAAAAATGTGTCTGTTTTGATGTTTTGCTTGTGGTTTTAATTATGATTTATGAAAGTGGCTTTAGAGACAACATGTACTTATGTCTATTTTTATGTGTTTAAATCCCCGTCATTTTGAAAATTACATATTACACCAGTTATCTATGACTGCAGGTAATAGGATAGTTAAAATATCAGAAACATTAGCTCACTACTACACTAGTTGGCAGGTCATCTGGTCAGTTTGTTGGTCGATATGCCTAAATTGAAAACCATTGGCTGGACAATGCCCACTCTTGCTTTCATATTGAGAAACACACTGAAAACCTTCAGTTTTATTTATTTGAATTCTTCCAAAAGAGACACTCATTTAATACATTTACTAAGTCTTTACTCTGAATCCTTCCTGTCTGCAGTCCCTAAACAGTGCAGACTTGAGGGTAGACAAGGAGCATTTGGGCCTGTCCATGCTTAGTTGTATGAATTATGTTTCAATCTGTGTACAGTCCTCGTAAAATAGAAAGCACTGCAGTAATCAGTTCTAAAGTTTTCTGTATCAGAACATTTAAAAAATTGTCTGGTCCTAAACAGGCCTTATCTTTAGGTAAATACAGACGAACAACAACACATGAAATGTTACACTGTGTCCTTATTTGTTTAACAGAAACTTGGACAACACAAAGTGCATCTCATTATTATGGCTTGCAGAGCCACCCTTAACAGCAATAACTTAAAGTGATCATTTTCTGTACTTCCAGTCTGTCACATCATCGTGGAGGAATTCTGGACCACTCTTCTTTACAGTTCAGTGAGGTTTGTGGGTATTCAGTTATGCACAATTATCCCACCACAGTATTTTGGTCAGGTTGAGGTCCGGACCTTCACTAGGCCACTGCAACACTTTGATTCCTTTCTTCTTTTAGCCATTCCTTGTACATTTGGGCCTGTGCTTGGGATCGTTGTACTGATACCTGACCAAATTTCGGCAGAGCTTTAGCTGTCGGACAGATGGTCTCACATTTGACTTGAGAATACTTTGGTTTACACAGGAGTTCATGGTTGACTCAGTGACTGCAAGGTGCCCAGGTGCTGTGGCTGCAAAGCAAGCCCAAACCATTCCCCCTCCTCCCCCTGTACTTGACAGATGGTATGAGGTGTTTCTGTTCATGCGCTGAGTTTGGTTTTTGCCAAACATCCCGTTGCACATCGTGGCCGAACATCTTCACTTTGGTCTTGTGTTGAAGATTGAGTCTTGTGGTTTGCAAAGACTCAACTTCACAAAGCCTCCTTCCGT